AGGGAAGGCGCCTGGGATCTCTTGCCCCGGCAACGTGGCATGTGAGTGGCCTAAGAGGAACGTGACGGTTAGATCTTCTGGCAAACAGCGGACACACAGTGATTGTGAGGTGAGAGCAAGGTTCCTCCCCACGAGATCAGTTTCTGAGGTCTCTTCTTCATTTTCCCCTCACACTTTCAAGATTCCCTCCTTGACACATGTTGCCATTGGCCTTCACAGCCCCAGATTTGGATCCCCCCTCCATGTCTCTGCATCCTCAGCATTGAACAGTAGGATTTCAAGAAGGTGAGGACAGGATTAGGGATTTCTGGGGAACTGATTAGTACAGGGGAGCTACAAACGGGGGAAGCTGGCCTTGATTCTATAAGAGGTCTTTGAGCAATCTCTCCTGTGATGCTCCGCTGCCTCAAAGATGTTGAGGATTAAATTGATGAAGAAGGTGGTGAGATAACCTGAGATTTGGGTGTGAGATCTCACAGACCAGATCTCCTGGAGATGATGTAATCAAAGTGTACACCAAAGGATGCACAGTGTCCAGTGTTCTTTAGATTCTGTCCATGCCCCCTTATTTTCCCTTTTGTGTTTTGTGTCTGGGTTGTGGTCCTTAAGCCAAATTCTCTTGTCTTTTTTTTTTTTTTTTTTACTTCACACACATTAGGGGCAGGACAGAGAGAATGTTCCTGAGAAGCATCCTTCTTTGAGTTTAAAATTGGTCTCACAATCTGAGACTCCACTGAAAGAGACAGAAGTGCTAGTATGAGGAGGCAAGGAGCATCACAGCAGTGACCAGTATTTGAAGAAGAATTTCTTCAGAACATTTGAGAAGTTTTTCCCCAAAACACACTGCAATCATTAATCCCACAGAGTAACTCTTAACTTCAGGGAGCAGCATTGGGACTAGTCTCAGCAAAAATGGTGAAATGGCTTCATTTGGGATGCTGGTGTATATCTAATGAGGTCACGTAGAAAGCAGGTTAGTTTGAAGACCATTTTGACAACGGGCTACTTTACTAAATGAACATTTTACTGAATGGACTAGTGTGTTATCATTTTTTCTCCATAACAGCATTTTAAGGACTATTCAGTTTGTCTCTGCTCAGCTCCAACTGATGCAGTTGAAGGACAGGAAAAAGGAAAGACTGGGTGGACATAAAAACATAATCTTGAGTGGGCAGAATTCTTGTCAGTAGATTCTTTTTTCTTTTCTCTAGGTACAGCATCAAAATGTTGAGGCAAACAAAAATTGACTACATTCTTCCAGAATATATTCTTTTAAATATATCTGTATATTCTTCACTGAGAAGAAATCTTACACTCTCTGATGTTTCTACTCTTTACTTCTTAGTCTCAAACTAGCTACAGGAATCTGGAACAGAGACAAATTGTACATTCTTTAAAACATTGCAATGAAAATGATCTCCAGTCAACAAAGATGTGATTGTCATAGAAACAACAGAATTTGGCACATTAGCTCTTTTCAGAAAATCCATTCAGAATGGACCCTCTTCTTGGTGTCAAAGATGGGGTGCATTCCCTTAGGGTCAAAAATTTGAGCCTTCCAGAAGAAACACTGGATGGTTTCTGCCTTGGTTGATGACATGGGGCTCCCTGGGAACTTCGTTGACCTGAGCCCCTATGGCAGGACAATGAGGCAGACCCTCTGGATGAGGTCAGAGAAGTCCTGTATGGACCCTAGAGTCCAGTTTTGGGCTTTCATGTCTACAAAGACCATGAATCTGCTTCAAAAACAACAACATACCCCGTCATCATGTTCCATATCTGATTCTTGACAAATATTTGAAAAATGACTTTGGAGACAGGTTTCTGTCTATTGGATCACAGCCAGAGAAAGGCTTCATGGATATAGAAACCAAGATACGGAAGTTTTGTATCTTAGGGACAAAGGGATACTAAGATATGAGTCTGATTTTTTTTTTTAAAGATTTTATTTATTTATTTGAGAGAGAGAGAATGAGAGAGAGCACATGAGAGGGGGGAGGGTCAGAGAGAGAAGCAGACCCCCTGCCGAGCAGGGAGCCCGATGCGGACTCGATCCAGGGACTCCAGGATCATGACCTGAGCCGAAGGCAGTCGCTTAACCAACTGAGCCACCCAGGCGCCCATGAGTCTGATTTTTATATAGCACAGCTTATGGTCCAAAATATGCATGGAAATTTAAAAGCTAAAAAGTAGTAGCTTTGCTTCTTGGTTTTACCCTGGAATTTCAAGCTTATGGAAAAATAGAGCTGATAAGATAATATTCATTAAAGCATAGACCAAAGCTATACACTATAGGCTAGCTATACACCAAAAGGGGTATATGTGTGCATAGGAGAATTCACCAAGAATGAGATAAACTGAAAATATTTCTATACTGGATAGAAATGCCAGGTAATGAGCAAAGGTTATCAGGTATTTCTCCCATGGCTGCAAAATGAACTCTTGAAGAAGCATTCAGTGTGAACAGTAATGGTAATGAAGCAATGATCCCATCCCAGCTTTTTGATGCAGAATATGAGTTCTGTTAAGAGTACATATTCCGATTCCAAAAGAGATTTAATGGTGATAACTTAATGTCTAATTTTATTTACCCTTAGATCATTGCAAATTCTGCATGGAGGCACATCACATGGATTGCTGCATAATTTAAGAGCCAATAGTAAGAAAAAAGTATGTGACATTATGTGGGGTTTGGTGCTTTAGTTGAGTGACATAGATTTATGGTATGGAATTTCTAAAGTGAATTTAGTTAAGGGGACCCAGTTTGCAGGACTGATTTTCTTTCATCCATTTGACACTGAGCTCAACACTGTTGCAGACATGGCAGGAGATTTCAAAGACTTTTTTTTTTTTTTTTTAATTTATTTGAGGGAGAGCGCACAAGCAGGCAGAGCGGCAGGGAGAGGGAGAAGCAGGCTCCCCGCTGAGCATAGAGCCCGACACAGGGCTCGATCCCAGGACCCCGGGATCATGACCTGAGCCGAAGGCAGACACTTAACCCACTGAGCCACACAGGCACCCCAAAACTTTTTTTAAAAAAAGATTTTTATTTATGAACTAGAGAACGCAGGGTAGGGGGGAGAGGGAGAGACTATCCTAAGCAGACTTCCCACACTGAGCTTGGAGCCCTGGCGTGGGGGAGGGGGGGCTGGATCTCAACACTCTGAGATCACAACTGGATCAAAAACCAAGATTTGGCCCTTAACCAACTGAGCTACCCAGGCGCCCCTCAAAGGCTGTTTGAATGAGTATCTTACAATCCAGTTAGGAAAGCATGCCTCATCTGAAAACGAAAATAACATGAGGCAATACATTGTCAAATGACAGATGAAAACAGCTGTGATTTATGAAGTACTTTTCTATGAGCTAGGCATGCTGCTAAGTGCTTTACATTCATCCCTTGATGTTAGCCACCCTATGACGTAGGTGCTATTATCCCCATTTTACAGATGGGAACGTTGAATTTCAAACTGCTGCAATGGCATGCTAAAGCTCACAACACTTGTCAATGGCAGAACTGGAATTTGAATTTAATTTGCACTGACTCCAAAACTTAGGTTCTTACAAAGAAATTATATGGCAATTCAGAGAACGGAGAGGGCTTCTAGGAGGGGAGAACTGAGTTGGCTCTTTTTTTTAAGATTTTATTTCTTTTTTTTATTTGTCAGAGAGAGAGAGAGCACAAGCAGGAGGAGTGGCAGGCAGAGGGAGAGGGAGAAGCAGGCTCCCTGCTGAGCAGGACTTGATCCCGGGACACTGGGATCATGACCTGAGCTGAAGGCAGCTGCTTAACCAACTGAGCCACCCAGGCGTCCCCTGAGTTGGCTCTTAAAGGATAGGCTTCAGGGGCGCCTGGGTGGCTCAGTCGGTTAAGGTTAAGCAGCTGCCTTCAACTCAGGTCGTGATCACAGTGTCACTGGATCGAGCCCCTCGTCGGGCTCCCTGCTTAGCCCCCGAGGAGTCTGCTTCCCCCTCTCCCTCTGCCTTTCTCCCTGGCTCATTCTCTCTTTCAAATAAACAAATACAATCTTTAAAAAAAAAAAAAAAAGGCTTCAGATAGGCGAGGAGGAGGAGCGGCCTACTAGGTCAAGCATACAGTAAATGCATGGAGACTAGCAGAGGGCTTCTGAAAATTACATTAGCCGAGCTGTCCAGTGGAACAGATTTAGTTGGAAAATGAACACTGGGTCAAAGACTGAACTGTAGGTAATTACCGCTGCAAAAATGCCAGTTTCAAGTAGTAGGCCTGTAGGAGGTGGACTGCAGGCCTGACTTCGAGAGAGGTCATCAGGGGCAGGGGCTACAGGAGCCGAAGGGGGGAAGAAGGGTGCGGCTAGGGGACCCTGCCCCGACCGCCCCCTTTCCTTCCCTAAGGGGCCCCACTACTTGGCTTCTGCTCGGCAGTGGAGAAGCGGCCAGGTACAGAATTATGATCCTGGCCGGCGGCCAGCCCAGTGGCCGCGGTGGGCGGGCCTACCTCTCCCGCCTCCGGTGAGGTTGGCTGCCCATCCCCGGGGCCTCACGGCAATTCGGGGAGGAGCCCTAGAACCCGTCCTTTATCTCCCTGACTCCGCGGGTTCCGCTCCGCTGCAGGGGCGGGGCTGGGGGCGGGGCCACGGACGCTGTTGCGAGTTCATCTCAGGACGGGGCGGGGCCACAAGCAACCGTATTAGGGGCATTCTGGGCCTCTGGCGAAGCGGTCCCCTTACCTTGTAACCCAGGCCCCGCTCCGCGGGTTCCGCTCCGCGACGGGGCGGAGCCGCAGGCGGATCCAAAGGTGGGGCCTGGGGCGGGCCCAAGGGCGTCCAGGTGGTCACTGCGGAAGGGCCTGTTTCTCTAGCTTGTCCTGGGGTCGGCGGCCCGCGGGGAGGTAAGGGGCTCAGGGAGGCAATTTGGTTCCCGCCCGGAGCCAAGTGGTCCGCTACTCCTGTGGGCCACCCCTTTTTCTTTCCCCCTCGAGCCGCGACTCCGAGGGCTGCGTTCCGCGGCGGGGGCGGGGCCGGGGGCGGGCCGCAAGTGGGTTGCGGCAGACCGGTAGGCTCGGTTGGCGGCCCGCCCCGGGGCCTCCTCCAGACTGCTTTAAGGCGAAAAAGGCCCGACGGGGTCGTCGTTGTCTCACGTCCTGAACCCCGTTCCCCGCGTCTTCCGCGGGGCTGTCCGGGACGAGCGGGTGTCGAGAGTGCGGCGGGCCTGGTCAGGGAGGGGCCGCCTTAGCGCCAGCTCCCATCACCGCCCCCGCGCCTTGCGGAGGAGCGAAACTCTGGTTGGCTTGTTTTCCAATCTTACTTTGGTTCTTTCATTTTAAAAAAGTCTCGACCTCCCACCGCCGGGCACTGTCCCGAGAGCTAACCGAGGCTGTGAGTGTTTGGGAACCAGGCCCGCTCGGCGGCCGCAGTTCGGGCGTCCCACCTCTGCACGGCCCGTCGGGCGCTGCGGCCCCGGCAGCACGCGGAGATGAGGAGCAGGAGCAATTCCGGGGTCCGCCTGGATGGCTACGCGCGGCTGGTGCAGCAAACCATCCTGTGCTACCAGGTAAGGAAGGACCACCCGAGCTGCCCTCTCGTGGCACTTATTCTCCTACCCAATCCCCTCCTGGTCCTGAGACTTTGCATTTAGGAGGTTTGCTCCTTAAATCCAGTGCTTGCTAGCCGCACCCCCATTCCACCCCATCCTCTTTCAGGGGACCCCCTCTGTTTGGGATCGAAGACAGAGCCCCCCCTGGTGCCCTGGGTACAAAAATGCGTCTTTTTTGCATTGACTGTTCTGTTTTGGGGGTGAGAGAGGAGGTGTGTTTAGGTTGGACAGAGCACACTGAACGGGGACAGTGAACTCGGGACTGCCAGGGCAGTAGACAGGAGTGAAGAACCTCCGGAGGTTTGTATCCTGCTCCTCCAGAGTGTAGGGCAACTGCTGCTGCCCCTCCCATGAGTTATCTTGTTAGAGACCCACGTGTGAGGGCCTTAGGGGTTACTCTGATTGATATTTTACAGATGAGAAAACTACAGGCCAAAAAGCTTACCGCGTGTAGTAGGGTCAGGGCCAAACGCAGGTCTTCTGCTCCCAAGTTCAAGGGGGACCTGTGAGGCTGCCCATGTGGTCTGAGGTATGAATATGCCTGCTCTTCTATATTACTGGCCTAAAGTTATATGTGGGCCCATCATGTAAGACCCCTGGACTATTTTTATTCCTAGTGAAGACAGCAGCTCTGTCCCTTTCCCTCAACCAGCAGCAACTATTAATAGGACCTCCATGTTCGAGAAGGAAGTAGCATTCCATGGTTAGAGGCCCAGCCTACAAGTCGGGAACCATAGTCATTCCCAAGCCACTGACCATTTTCCCTTCTTAGCCAATTTCTCAGTCTTATTTCTTCATTCATGAAATATTTATTGTGTACCTATTATATGCAAGACACTCTGTCAGGTGCTGGGCTTACAAAGAATAAATGCGTGTAGTGCAATGAGATTTATGCATAGGGTATAGTTCCGGAGTCCTTTGTCTGAGATCCTTGGGGCCAGATGTGGTTTGCAAGTCAGAAATGTTTGGATTTTAGAAAGGTGTAATATACATATGTATTCTATAATAACTGCAGTGGGCAGCATCCCTTAATCAAACACATTTTTCTCACATCCGAATGTGAATATTCACACTGAGTAGGAAAAGTAAAGACTTAAAATAGTTTCACATCAGTTCAGGTCACCTTTTGTCACCAAGCCTCCTGCAAACTTATGAAAACCCTTTAGATTTCCAGAACTTACCGGCTTTTAAAATTGCACATGAGGGACTGTGATCCTGATTTGGGGGAGCTAAACCCAGTTTGGGGAGCCGGGATGGAGTCCTAGAAGACATGACGTTAAGTTGAGAATTAAAGAAGGAGTAGGCAGGCAAATGGTGGTTACTTTTTGCCGTCCTGTTTGTAGTATATTACAATTACATCTATAAATTGTTTTAAAATTCAAGTTCAGAGGTTTTCCCCTTCCTTACTGTGAGGGAAGGGGCTGTAAGGAGAACTGATGAAGCATGGTTCTTGTGTCACACCTGTGTTTGCGTGCCCAGCTCTGCCTTGAATGACATGTTAGCCTTTACTCAACCTCTCAAGTCCATGGCCTCATCTGTAAAATGGGGACAGTAACACCTATCTCCGCTGAGGTATTGTGAAGAAAAAGTTAGCGCCTAGCAGGTTGCCTGGCAGCCAGGAGGCAATCAGTAAACAGTGCTGTTGGTGGTGGTACGACTTGGACATAGGCCACACGTCCACACCTCACCACCGTGAGCCATGTTACTCCCCTTCCTGAAAGCGTTGGTACAACTACTAATTGCTTTCTAGTCTATAAACAAAATTATGTCTCCCCATTGATGCAGTGAGGTCCTTAAGCACAGAGGCCTCATCAGTTTTGTTCCTTTTGTGTTAAGCAGTGTTCCTGGCACATGAAAGGTACCGTTAAGTCCTTGTTGATAAAATACTTCCAGCAGGCTCTGAGCCATCCTAATGTCCAGCCATTGACCCAGGCTTGCCTTCTCTCAGGAGCAAAAGAACTGTCTTATTAAAGCAAATTTGCAGTGTTGGACTTTCCTCTCCAACATTTTAATGATTAAAAAAAAAAAGGCGTCTCAGCCTTTAGTTGTATTTATTTTGGGGGTAGTTGGTGAGAAGCTCTCATTTACCCTCTTTACTCCTGTGGCTAACTGGAATCCTCCGAATACAACACTGCTGGGAAATCCCATGCAGACTCGCACTCCTTGTCCCCCTCCCCCCACCCATCCTGCCCCAACAGCTCGTCTTCACAGTTGTAGATCCTTAATCCATTTAAGGTCTCATCATCTTTCTGAGTGATCTTAGGTCCCCTAACCACTCTAAAAATGGATGGGCAATTTTATGCATATTCGACCATAAAAAAAAATGAACGACCTGGACTGGTGGTTTCTAAAATTTATGCTGTATCTCCCCATCTCCTGTAGATATATGCAGATGTTTGTGAGGTATTTTTCAGTGTCAGCGGGTACAGGCTCTGAACTGTTTCTGATTTGCTTTTTATTTTTATTTTTTTAAAAGATTATTTATTTATTTGAGAGCGGGAGGGAGGGAGAGGGAGCATGAGTATGAGCTGAGCGGGGAGAGGGGCAGAGGGAGAAAGAGACTCCCTGCCGAGCAGGGAGCCAGCAGAGCGGGAGGGACTCCATCCTAGGACCCTGAGATCTTTTTTTTTTTTTTTAAAGATTATTTATTTATTTATTTATTAGAGAGTGCGCAGGAGAGAAACAGCATGAGAGGGGAGAGGGTCAGAGGGAGAAGTAGGCTCCCCGCTGAGCCAGGAGCCCGATGTGGGCCTCGATCCCAGGACCCCGGGATCACGACCTGAGCCGAAGGCAGTCGCTTAACCAACTGAGCCACCCAGGCGCCCGGACCCTGAGATCTTGACCTAGGCCGAGTCAGATGCTTAACTGAGCCACCCAGGTGCCCCTGATGTGCTTTTTAACTTGATTTCACTTGTTAGAAATCATTTAGCGTTAAATATGTCAAACTCCTAATTCTTCAGTTAGAGGCAGTAGCGTGTCAACTAATTCCTTTTCCTGTATCTGTGAAAGAGAACAACTTTTCCATTAGTCGTTTGCCAAATACATTTGCTACTAATTATTATTTAAATCTTTAAGGCGAAGAAGAAAAGAGCTATGTTTATAAAAGGGTCCTTTTGCAGATATGATTTTGTGTATACAGAGAGTATCATTATACACTCCAGGGATTATCTTCAAATAATTATTGACTGAAAAAAATTCCTAGATTTACTTTGGTCCAGATAATACTAACTTTGTACATTTTTTGAATATCAGTTCTGTTTGAAAGCTCATACATGAAAGTGTTAAGTTACAAAGTAGTGATAAGAGAATATGGATCAGAAATGGTGATCAAGGCAGTAATTGTAACTGCAGATTATTTGGTATAAAAAACAGATAATTAAGAGACCAGAAGAGTAAGTAAATATTGCTTATTTAGTGGCAATGGAATTTAAAATGAAAAGAATGGGATAACTAAAACATGGAGTAGGGAACAAATAGTAATAATAATAATAAAGACTAATTTGGGGCAAGTTTAAAAAAGATATAATTAAATACTGTGAAATAATATGGCAGAAGAATGGGAGGTGGGTTAAAGCATTCTTAGACCTTTATCACTTTATCACGTTAAGAAGGGGAGAGGTATTATATATTTAAATCAAGAATTTATATGTAACGCTTGAACATGAAGGGAATATATAACTTTTTAAAAAAAATTTTTCGTAAGCATAACTTTTTTTTACAGTATTAGTTTCTGGTGTACAGTACAGTGATACAGCACTTCTATACATCACCTGGTGCTCACCATGACAAGTGCACTCCCTAATCCCCATCACATATTTCACCCTCCTCCTACCCAGGAATATATGACTTTTAAAACAGTGGAGGAATAAAGAAGATTTGATCACTGCAAGAGAAGGAAGGAAAAGAGTGCTTAGGGAGAGAGAGAAGTTTAAAAAAAAAATAAGCAAAGGACAAAGCAAGATGCAAATAAGTCCAATTAGTAATCACAATAAATGGAAATGCTTAAATTAGCCAGGTAATAGAAATTATTAAAAATTTTTTTTAAATGTGGTTTTTATAAATTTTATTTATTTGAGAGAGAGAGCTTGTGCACAAGTGGGGGTGAGGGGCACAGGGAGGGGGAGAAGCTGACTCACCACTAAGCAGGGAGCCAGACATGGGGCTCCATCCCAGGACCCTGAGATCATGACCTGAGCCGAAGGCAGATGCTTGACCAACTGAGCCACCCAGGCGCCCCAAGATATATGTGGTTTATAAAAGACACAACCTGGGCCACCAGAGTGGCTCAGTCGGTTAAGTGGTTGACTCTTGGTTTCAGCTCAGGTCATGATCTCTGGGTCATGAAATTGAGCCTGATGCAGGGCTCAATCTTTTTTTTAAGCGAGAGATACAACCTTAAGATATTCAGAAGTTGAAAGTAGTTTATTTTTTTTTTAAGATTTAATTTATTTATTTAGAGAGCAAGAAAGAGAGAGAGTGAGCAAGCAGGGGTAGGGGCAGAGGGAGAGGGAGAGAATCCCAGACAGACTCCCCACTGAGCATGGAGCTTATGGTGGGGCTCCATCTCACCACCCTGAGATCATGACCTGAGCTGAAATCAAGAGTCCGATGCTTAACTGACTGAGCCACCCAGCTGCCCCCAAAGGTTGAAAGTAGTTTAGTTAGACAAGATATATAGGCAGATGCTAAACAAGAAGAAACTGGTGTGCATACTAATGTCAAACAGTAGATCTTGAAATTTTTAAAAATTTCATTATTAAGGATAAAAAATATTACTAAATGATAAAAGGATAATTCAAGAAAATAAAGCAATTTTAAATCAGAATACAACTCTGATTGATATGAAGCAAAACTTGACCTAACTGTAGAAGTTAACAAATCCGTAATCATACTAAGAACTTTTATACTCCCCTAAGATACTAATAGGTCAAGCAGAGAAATAATTAGGACATAGAAAA